GAAGCTCCCGGCTACTCCAGTCCCAGCCTGGGGCGCTGTGGGGGGCAGGGCAGGGCCGGGGGGGAAGCTCCCGGCTACTCCAGTCCCAGCCTGGGGCGCTGTGGGGGGCAGGGCAGGGCCGTGGGGGGAGCTCCCGGCTACTCCAGTCCCGGCACGGGGCGCTGGGGGGGACAAGGCAGGGGGCTGGCTGGGGGGGGAGGGGAGAGCTCCTGGCTACTCGTCCCAGCAGGGAGCACAGTGCAGGGCAGTGGGATACACTCTCATTGCCGTGTCTGTGAGGCTCGTGGTGTGGGGCAGGGGAGCTGTGGCTGCAGAAGGGGCAGTTGCTGGGGCTCTCAGCCCAGCATGGCACCCACACTCCAGTCTCGCAGCGGGAGGGGAAGGTCAGCAGCACCTCTGCAAACCCTGCACTGTGCCTAGCTCTGCCTGGAGCCAACCCCCTCCCAGCCCAGGGTGTAACAGACCTGCCGTGGGGCTGGGGGCACCTTGGGTGTGCAAGGCACAAGCCCAGGCCCGCTGGAGCCAGGTGCAGGGCTCCCCAAGGCCCAGCCTTCTCTCTCCAACAGGCCTGTGCCCTGCCTCTCAGCATGCTGCGGGGGAGCTTGGCAGGCCACTCACCTGCCCCAGGCCTGGGAGCAAAGGGTGCAGGAGTCGATTTTGTCCCAGGTGCCCCTGGGTGCCAACAGGGAGGGGCCCAGAGAGGTGCACAGGCTTACAAGGAGCTCCTGTGTCTGGGGTGCATGTCCTAGTGCACCAGAGACTGGCACGGGAGGGCTCCAGTGACAGCCCGTGTCTCACTAGTCTCCAACCTGTGTGTGAAATGCACGTACAGATCCCACGGGAGGGGTCACAGCTGTACCCAGCAGCCACGCTCGCCAAGCCTGTGGCTGTGGGACGAGAGCCGCCCACCTGTAAATGGAGGAGTCTGGTTGCCGGTGGGTCTCCTTCCCAGGCTGAACCGAATGCCGACGCAGGAGCGTGAAAAGGGCAGAGAAAAGTACCAGGAAGATGTACACAGCTGGGGGGCAGACCACGATTACCAACTTTCTAATCACACAAAACCAAACATCCCTGCCCCACCCACGCCACTCACTCTCCCACACCCCCCTCACTTTCACCAGGCTGGGGCACGGGGTTGGGGTGTGGGAGGGCTCCAGGATGGGGCCAGAAACGAGAGGTTCAGGGCTGGGGTTTGGGGTGCAGGCTTCAGCTGGGGGTGTGGGCTCAGGGATGAGGGGTTTGGGCTGGGGAGGGCTCAGGGGGTTGTGGTGGGGACTCTGGGAGGGAGTTCGGGTGTGGGAAGGGGTTCCAACCTGGGGCAGGGGGTTGTGGTGGGGACTCTGGGAGGGAGTTCGGGTGTGGGAAGGGGTTCCAACCTGGGGCAGGGGGTTGTGGTGGGGACTCTGGGAGGGAGTTCGGGTGCGGGAAGGGGTTCCAACCTGGGGCAGGGGGTTGTGGTGGGGACTCTGGGAGGGAGTTCGGGTGCGGGAAGGGGTTCCAACCTGGGGCAGGGGGTTGTGGTGGGGACTCTGGGAGGGAGTTCGGGTGTGGGAAGGGGTTCCAACCTGGGGCAGGGGGTTGTGGTGGGGACTCTGGGAGGGAGTTCGGGTGCGGGAAGGGGTTCCAACCTGGGGCAGGGGGTTGGGGTGCAGGCTCCACTTACCTCAGGCAGCTCCCAGGCAGCAGCGCAGCGGGGCTATGGCAGGTTTGCCCTGGCTCCGCACTGCTCCCGGTAGCGGACGCTGTCTGGCCCCTAGACCAGGGGTCGGCAACCTCTCAGAAGTGGGGTGCCGAGTCTTCATTTATTCACTCCAATTTA